CGGCGGCCGTCCTCGTCACCGATCCCCCACCCCTCCCAGCCTTGTTCTCACCTCGACCCATGCAACAACTCACTTGCGCTTGCAGCTCTTGACGACGACGATTGTAGCTCCGCCGCCCTCGCCATTGATGCTCGCTGCAGGAAAATACGTCGACGGCGGCCGCGAGTCAATCAACGCCATTTGAATGGATGTAGCAAAAAAATTCACCGATAGTAGCAAAATCAAACTACGGGTGCAGCAAAAACGTCTGATGGATGTAGCAAAATCCTGGTATGGTTGCAGCAAAAAATCATGGATGTAGCAAAAACCTCCAACAGTAGTAGCAAAATCCTGCTACGGTTGCAGCAAAAAATATCATTGTCGTCCTCGCGAGGTCGCAGCTCTGCCTGATGGATGTAGCAAAAAGCTTGCCGGTAGTAGCAAAATCCAACAACGGTTGCAGCTTCCCCTGTTGTGCAGTGCCGTTGAAGCTTTCTATGTCTATGGTTGAAGCTTTTTCCAACGGTTGTTGAAGCTTTTCTAGGTGACGGTTGCAACACTTGTATACGCGGGAGGGGCCGGGCATGGCGGCAGGCAGTCATGGCGGCCGGCGAGGGAGCGCCTGGCCGCCGGCGATGGAGCTTGTGGTGGCCCAAACGCAGCCCGGAAGGAGAGGGGAGGGGATGCGCGCGTGAAGGCTGTAGGTAGGGGGATGGATCTGGCCATGGCCGCCGGCGAGGGAGCGCCTGGCCGCCGGCGAGGGAGCTCATGGTGGCCCAGTCGCTGCCCGAGGGAGGAGGGAGGGGAGAGGATGCGCGCGCTAGAAGGAGGCGGGATGGAGGCGCTGGAAGGAGGCGGGGCGCGCGCGGCGCTGGAAGGAGGCGGGGCGCGTTTTGCCAGCGTGGCGTGCGAACCGGCCGAAAGTTCGGCCGGCGCACCGCGCCCAAACATTTACCTTTCAGGAATACATATAGTCATGGCCGGTAGCATTTTGCAATTCAAATTCAAATCTTGAAAAATAAAAATCTTCCTGTAGCGGTTTTTCTCGGAGGCTAACGGGAAAGCCGGTGTTCGACCGGTTTCAAAAAATCGTTCTCGATTATCAACTAAGTATGTGCCGTGCATGTGACCCGACTTAATTAATATAAGTAAAATGTAGTAGAGTCAACTGTTTATTAAATATACATTTGTGTATATTGAAAGCAGTTGACTCGGTACATTTTAGAGCATATGGTTCAAAATTTGACGGTCCAAAATCAAAGATGTAAAATTTGAACTGTCAAAAAGTTTGGAGCTCCGAAAAAAGCTCAACTCCAACAGATGGTCTAAATTGATGGTCCAAAAGAGCAAATCCAATAGATGATCCAAAATAATGATGTAAAACGACATGCTACTAGTCCATTCAATATAGTTCAAACATCAAATTGAACATAGTTTCATACATCAACTTCAACTACTACTTATTCAAACTACTAGATAAATTACTCCTCATCGTAGCTACGGAACTACTCCCAGAACTCCTCCTTCGTCGGGTCGTCGCACCCCTCCTCCTCCTCCTCCTCCTCCTCCGAGAAGTCTTCCCAGTCCTCCTCGGAAGAGCACTCGATGGGGATCACCGTCGACGGACCAGCCTCATCCTCCTTCTTCGGCCCCTTCTTCTGCTCCGCCTCACCCTTCCAGTAGTACTCCATCTCGGCCTGGACGTACTCCAGATGCTCCCGAGCAAACCTCGCCATCGCCTCCTCATCGGTCTCGCCAGCACTGACGATAACCGACGACTTCTTGTTCTTCGTCGTGATCTCCTTCATGTTGATGCCCTGCGGCACAAGCATCTCCGCTTCCGCCCGACTCTCGATCTCTGGAAAGTTGAGGTGCGACCGAGGCCTCTCGGCACGCCACACCGCCACATCATAGGCACGCGCGGCCTCGTGGGCGAAGGGGTACGTGCCGATCCACCAATGCCTTCCGGCGTCGGAGAACTCCACACCCCAGCTACCGGAGGGCTTCTGCCTCACGCCAAAGAAGCCCGACTTGCCCTTCGGCGTCTTCTTCGGCACCATCGGGAGCGGC